GGTCTTTCCCAGTGGCAGCTTAATCACTTTGATACTGCTGAACATCATGTAAAATATTTGACTCAGTTTTCACAACTTGAAAACGTAATTACTCACTTCGAGGAATTGACCGGGAGCGGTGAGGTATGTTCATTTTCCATGCAGAATAATTCTTGAGGTTGATTATTCCTTGATGCATGTTTTATTGTAAAGAAATGTTCAGTAAAATTTAGTTCCTTCTCCTTATCTTTTTTATATTGTATTATAGTGATTTAGCATCATGTAGTATTCTAGTACAAATTCTATCCAGGTGAAGAAGACAATGCTACTTATGTCCCATAACAATGTCTTCACTTGAGGTTTTCTTTTTGCCCCTCCCTAACTTTCTTATGTTTAAAACAGAAGTGATAGATACAAGTTCTATTTATGGGTGAAGGAGATGAAAATAGCAGATAAGAGAAAGGAAAAGACAGTGAAACACGAGATAAATAACCTGTTGTAACAGATTGAGTAAAGATGAAGTCATAAATATTATACTTAATTATAATTTTAGTTTCTATATTTTGTAAAAAATTGTAATTTTGGTGCTTTTTTTTTACAATTTTGGTTTTTGCGTTTTGTTAATTTTTTGAACTTCGGTTTTTAATTTTTTTACAATTTAATTTCTTAAGTTTTTAATATTTTATAAGTTTGATCAATTTTAATTAATTATAATATCATTTTTATAATAATTATGTGATCATTAATCTTTTAATATGCATAAATTATTAAACAAAATGATAAAGTAAAATAATAATCATGTTATTTAATTAATGGAAAAATTAAATAACAATAATTTAATTAAAATTAAAATTTTTAATATTAAATAGAGAAAAGAAATTAGTAAGTATTTAATTAAAAATATCTAAATTTATAAAAAAATTAAATCTTAATTTATTTTTTAATAAAATAATATTATATCTCTTCTGCTTTCTAAAACATATACCAATTTTAAGAATCATTGTTGTTTTTAATATAATAAATCAGGACACAATTTTCTTCCTTCTATTTATGATGATGATGGAAAATTCTGTAAAAAAATAAAGTGATTTGATTAGTAAATGTCATAAAATTAGCTGTTAGATATTTGTTTCATTTACATGTTTTTTATATTATTTTTCATGAATTTTAATTTTCTTTTCTATTTTTTTCAATAATATGATATGATTTCCTTTAGTGCTTGTTTGATCTTTTACAGGATTAAATTAAAGTATCTATCATCCTACATTCAAATTAATACGTGTAATTATAAACGAAAAATATATATAAAATTGATATCGAGTTAAATTTGGAGATTAATGCGGTTATTGTATTAACTAATGCCATCTTACCTCTTAGTCAATTATAGAATATATTTTATTACATTTATTGTAACTTGAAAATGTATGAATACATCTTAATAAAACAATTAATTATTTAAATATAATAATAATAACAATAATAACACCAACTTCCGCTTTCGTTCTCGAACCACACCGTATTGGGAGAGGCTAGGATCTGATAACTTACAGACTCCACACATCATCACGAGGCTTTCCAATGTGCTTTGTTTTCACTCGCATACTTTCCGGGAAAACTTCCCAGAAGGTCACCCAACCCTAAATTACTCCAGGCTAAGCATGCTTAACTATGGAGTTCTTATGGATTAGATTACCGAAAAGCAAATGCATTTTGGTGATATGAGTAGATCCCTTTAAGCTATCCTTCAACTGTATAGTCTCATACCTATACAGTCTCTAGATTCCTCTCATCTCGGTGTATGTTCGATTCACCATGTGTCCCTTCCACTGGAAGCCTGCCAGGAGCCGCTCCTTGTCAGTGCCCTTTGCACTTCGTGCTTCTTGCACCGGCGATCACTCCCCGCCCTCGTCAGTGCCCAGGTGTTACATGAATAATGTAAGACCCATGAAAGATATTTACCTTAATAGTAACAAATTTATTACTAGTAGTAATAAATTTCTTTGTGAATGGAAAATATAATAAGTTTATAAAATGTAGAAAGCTAAATAAGAAATTTTGGTAGCTTAAATGATAAAACACTCAGATTTTAAGGCATTATTGATGGATCCAATATGTCAAGTGATGATTAAAATATTAATATAATAAATAATATTAAAAAATTGGTGAATAGTAAAATTTTTGGACTATAAATAGCCATGAGAGGGAAGACTATTCTCCACAAAGAGAGAAAGAATCAAGTGAGAAAGCTTGAGAAATAAAGAAGAAAGAGTTAGGAAGAAATTTTTAGTATTGTTTTATTACTATTCATGTCTTGAATTCTGTGTGAATACCGTTAATGAAAAACATAGGTGCTTGTTATATATCTATCTATATTGAATTTCTGTGTTAATAAAATATGTTGTTGTTTTGAATCTGTAAATAAGAAATTTGTTAAAACTAGTTGAGGAACACTTTGGCTAAGGAAAGACTTGGTACTTATGTTGTCCATTGTGACGCACCTCTCTTTGCTGGAAGTCTACTCGACAAGTTTTTAACTGAAATCTTGTTGAACAGATTATGTACTGTTAAATTATTGTGCAATATATCTTGTTGGAATGAAAATTTCTGATGAATTCATGTTATTGTGGTAGATATGGAATTATGAATTCTAATTGTGATGGTAGGATAGAGGAATCTTAAAAATCAGAGTTGGTACATCCTTGATCATAGAGCAGCCCTGGTCAAATCCAGTAAGTTGTAACTAGTCATATGTACTGGCGTTTAAAGTGAGTTTGATTCGTCAAACATTTGATTCTTCTCCGGTGACCATTTATGGTGATATTTTAGTATTGTTAATTTATTTTGTGATATATTCATTTTGTATGATTTCTGCGATGATTAGATTTTATTGGATTTGAATTTATGCATCTGAACATGATATGAGTATTATGGAGAGATTTTGTAAGGGTATAATGTGAGTTGAGGAATATGAGCATGGTATGAGTCTCGTGGAGAGATTCAATAATGATATGGTATTTGTGTATATGTTGATGTTGAGGGTCCTCTAGTTGGAGGTTATCCTGATACTCTAATAATCATCCAGTCTCAAGTAGAGAATGATGAATTATGTTGTGAGAAGGGCAGGAGGTCCTAGTCTATGTGCCGGTTTTGGACGTAGTGTTGATGACTAACCTTGTGGATGATATGGAGTATTTTTGAAAGTGTATTTGTAAGAAGAAGTGGAAGTCATCACAAGTGCATAACCTCCCGTGACCGCTCATCAACGTATCATCCGGATGAGTGTCGATTGGGTATTGTGAGATGAATGTCTATTGAGTATTGTGGAACGAGTGTCTATTGAGTCTTGTGGGATAAGTGTTTATTGGGTATTGTGGGACGAGTGTCTATTAGGAAATTTGGTATGATGGGATGAGTATCTATGGTGTGATTGTGGTATGATGGTATGAGGGTGTCTGACATAATTATTATATGATGTTTGTTGAGTGTATCAAAGTAATTATGCATGTTTTATAATTGATTTGTTGCATGTTAGCTCACCCTACTTGTTTGTGTTTGTGTATCTGCGATGATCGTATAATTCGTTATACGGGAGCAGATGAATGAATGTCGTTGATCCAGTGCCAATGAAAAAAGAGATAGAAGAATAAATTAGAAAAATTCGAGTTATATTTATGAGTTTGTAGTTGAAATCTGAGTTAATTATCAAGTGTGAATGAATATATCTCTTAATAACATTGAAGTTTGATTTGATCTATCAAAGCAATACAACTATTTTTAACTATTGTATTCACGACTATTTACGCATCAGATGGAGAGTATATATATATATATATATATATATA